CAGATATATGTAATTGTGACATATCCTACATTGATACACACACACACACACACACCCCCACACACACTAAGTCATATCCCCACATGCACAGCCTACAACCTAGTACAAGCACACACCACCCTCTCACACAAAACTAACCAATCTGCTCTTCACACACTTTTCTCTATGATGTATCCTCCTATTTATATGCACACACATACATTTGTTTATACCATTACATTACATGGTATACATCTGCTTAAATTCACACAGAAAAAAATAATTATTTAAGTTGCGTAATTTATAATGCATTGCTTCTTGCTCGTGTCCGTTACAATCTTGCATTTATCAATTTTACGTAGGTTAACTGTTACACATACATTTAACGTGAAATAACAATATACTGGTACTGTAAGAGGGAGGAAATTATGTATTGCTGCACTAACCTAAATCATTATACTATCATTTGAATAATTGTTACATCTAACAATTTCAGTCAGTAAAATAATTTTTTTTGTAAAAAAAAAATTGAATAAGGAGTGGCTATTGTTACACCAGTTTTCCTTGAATTCATAATTATTACGAATACCAATTTAAGGTAATAAAATAACTATTTTTTCTAAAAAAAAAAAATTGCTTTATTTAATTGAAAATAATTTAAAACACAAATAAGGAGTGGCTATTGTTACACCAGTTTTAATTGAATTTCTAATTCTGATTTGGATTCTATTGTAGTCAGAATTCAAAATTCATCTAAGATCAGGGTAACTATTGTCACTGCCTTAAAAAAAAAACAAAACAAAACAAAAAAAAACAATCCAAATGCATTATATACAAAATATAAAAAATTAACCATCAAGAAATTCAAGCAAATTAATTATAAACCAAAACATTTAAAACACAATTGTTTATAACTATAAGTGAGAATAAAAAACAGTAAGGACAATACTTCTAATGACCCTAAACAGTTTTCTTAAAGTACTTCTCGAGGACCAATTACCAAGAAATACATGTCACAAATAAAGTAAAGTAAGCTTATCCTAGCTCAAAATGTTCATGTAAACTTCCATTGGATTCTAGCATCACAAATGCATAGCATACTTCAAACAACACTAATGTATGCATCCACTACATGTTTCTTATTATCGTCTAGAAAGACCGGTATCATAGCAACATACGTATTCTTCTTCTCATCATTTGAGGAGTGTGCAACATCCTCTGACTGCGGATGCTCTTCAGCTGCATGCGGCATACACGGTCCAAGAACCGTGAGAAAAACTGGGAGAAACACAAGTCCATGGAGTGCGCCAAACACCATTACTAAGAACAGAGTTTTAAAAAAAGTTGTAAAGACATACATAGGTGCTGTGCATAATGCTGAAACGCCAATTATAGTTGACAACGCGCCTTGTAAAATTGGCATGCCTAAAGAATGAAGAGCATCTATGGCTCGCTTATTTGGCGTACTCTCAGGGGAGGTTACATACGCGTATGTTATATGAGCTGTAAAGTCCACACTAAAGCCAATACATAGAATAATGTTCATCATTGAGATTCCATCTAAACTGACGCCCCATAATGTCATATACCCAATCACCGCAATGTCTATAGAAACTATGCAAAAAGTAACCCAAATTGTACAGACTGGGTGCGGTATCATAAGCAATGCGACAATAAACATGCTAGCTGTTGCGATTCCCAGTGTTTGTATTGTCGTTGGCAGTACACCTACATACTGGTCATAATGAATAAATGTAGAGTCAAAGGCAGTAATGTTAAATGATGCCTCTCCTGCGAGATCACGCATTTCTAACATCATGTTGCGCTCCTCGACAGCATTGTGTAGGTCATTGGTAAGTACAAGTATGCGTGAGCCAATGATCTGTGTGCGATTCTCATTAAATGTTATGTCTAAATTAAACCTCTTTGCCTGAGGACTTGCTAGAAATTGTTCAAGCATGGATAAAAACACCTTTTCCTCCACATCAGTGGTATTCAATGTCATATAGAGAAATTTCTGGAAAACCCGAATCCATGACTCTGTGAAATTTTTACATACATATTCTGACCCTTCATATTTCCTGGTTATTTCTTCTATATACGCCTGAGATTTTTCCTCCCAATAGGGTAAAGGATCTGTAAATATGATGCTCACTGATGGGCCATAACGTAAAAAAAATTGGTCTTTCTTGTCGTAATATTTATACGGATAAGAATCCTCAGCAGCAATGTATTTCAAACGCAAACCTTCTTGCACTCTTGCACATCCGTAAATACCGATGAGAAAATACATAATGAAGGCAAGTAGTACAAACACTTTTACGTACGGCTTCATCAGAAAAGGTCCGTAGTACGCACGGAAAAACTTCATCACACGATGTTCAAGATCAACGTTAAAATTCCTTGTGCGTGAAGAGAAACCTCCTGCACAAAAAATGCGATAGAGTCGTGTTGGTGCTTCCTCACGTGGAAGAACTTTCTTACATGAACAACAGTGATGGTTCTTTAACTCGCGTTGCCCAGTGTAAACCATGCATGCGCCGAAGAAAGTGATTTGATAAATGTACATAAAAAGAACCGAAAGACCTGCGTAAGCACAAAACATTCTAACGCTTGGTATTTTTGTGCTGGCTCCAATCGCAAAAACAAGTAGATCTGTTAAAGTGGTGATACTGATGGACACAGCTGCCTCTGAAAATGTTCTTCCCATACGTTCCTCCAGGCACAGGTTCTGTTTGCACTGTCTCCATGAAGCTATCATAAGAAACATATTATCAACACCAATACCTGTTCAGAGAAAAAAAAAAAATAATTTCTAATAAAATTTTTAAATATGAAAAAGAACTTCTTTAGAGCTTTCTGGCATCATGGACACTTAATATGTCAATACAGTACAGGTCACACTTATCAGGTAACATGGAAGTTCAAAATGTATCTTACATCTTCTAAATTTTAATGATTTTACTGGTGTGTTCAGCTAAAAAAAAAACTAAATTGCAGAATTGAAATAATTATACTTTAAAAATAATTTTAGTTTTTCATTGAATGTCAAATTTACTTTGAATTTCAAATGTATATTTATAAATTTATTATTTTCAATTTGAAAAAATCAGAATGGTGAAGTCGTGGTCGTCATCGTCATCATTCTTCTCATCATCATCATCTACATCATCATAATAATAATAATCCATTATTAACCTTATATACTATTTGGTGATCCCACCCCTGGATCCCCACTCTGTTGCCACCACTTATAGCAGCAATATGACCTGCATTAGACTCAAATTCAAAGCCTCTATTATTGCAAGCAAAAAACTTTATGGCTGTACCATGTCATAACACTTAGAACCTCATCAGGGCAAATACTGGAAACAGCAGTCTGCAAGCAGTAACTTGTTAATTGATGCGAAATGAAAAAAAAAAAAAAATGAAAAAGTAAATTCCCATTTACTCACCTAGAATGAGGAAAGGCATTGAGGCTACTACCATATTAAACTTAATGCCTCCAAAGCTTAGCATACCGATAGAGCTTAAAATGGCCAAGCCTGCATTTATTACTCCAAGCAGACCCAGCCAAGGCCTGCTGAGAACCCAATCACGCTGGATGCAAGACAAAATCGCAAATACGATAAGCATTCCAAACGTTGCAGCAAACCGTGGTATTACCCTCACACTGGCATTCAGCATCTCGTCCGCCAAAGACATTGATGTTGCCATGCAGATGTCAATGGTTTTCGATGTTTTAGCAACGTTTGCAACAAATTCCATAAACCGTTTCTCCCATTCCTTTCCATAGTCCTGATCACTTCCAGACAAAAGATAATGTATCGCCATTGCTTGAGCACTTTTTACAGTTCCTTCTTCTTTGTTGTAAAATGTCACACCTCCTAGGTTTTTCCCAATGAATAGTGGTTCATTGTCTTTTACTGCATTTGGGTATGTTAAATTACGAGTATGTAGATGTACTGTGTCTTTATCAAAAAACTCAAGCACAGGATTTGTAAGGCAATGCCCATCCCACTTCATGCAAAGGTCAGTGTAGTCCTTTTCTGTGCCATTTATGGATATCTTGATTGCACGTATATCCTCATCCAGAGCAAGTATTTCACCAAATGTGACCTCAGATAATATATTATTACCCTTTTTTGGTGTTGCGATTAATTCTCCACGTTGTATAAATGTTTCCAGTGCACGATTTGGAAGGAACTCAGTTCCTTCATCTCCATTTTTGAACAATTCTCTTGCAATCACCCGGTCAGTTTTACCAGGACTTCCTTCTGGGGTGAACAAATACTCAACATCATCTTCGACGTTGAATTGCAAAAAGCCGATCAACAGTAAAAATACTAAAAATAGTGGTAAAAGAAGGAAGGGCAGTGGTTGCCTGGCAAGAAGCCTACCATAGCGACCAAACCAACCACTAATGATTTTGTCAATGCAATCGAATTTCATGGTGATTACTGTAGGTTTCTGGTGTTGAGCTCTAAGCAGAGACCAATCAGGGCAGCTGTTTTCTAACCAAGCATTGGTGAGCATATGCAAAATGTCCTTCCTTATTCTTAATTCATTCTCCCAACATGGATTTTATCTGAAAAACACAATTTTATGATAAATGGATAATATAACTATTTATTATCTGTAAAAACAAAATTTCAATTTTACTATAAAATTTTGTAAAATAACATTTGAGCAAATAAAATCTTGTTTATTTGTGCTATATAAATTCATCTTATTATTTAAATTACAGGGCCAGAGAAATCAAAATTTCAAAAACCATATCCATAAATAAACGAGAACAAATAACAAAGTAGAACTTACAACTAGTAAATCAACAGAAGGAGCCTAGAGCCAAGATATACTTTGCCTTTGTTCAAAAATGTATTCATTCAATCAGAATTGAATGTAATATACATGATTGTTAGTGCTTCATTCCCAAAGATAACTAAATATATGTATATAACACCTTCTATAATAAACCTTGTCTTAAGGCATGTCTCAAAATATTTTCCTGTTAAAATACCTTTATGATATTTTGTGAAATTTGTTTTATTTTGATCTCAGATGACCTGAACAACTAATACACAAGCCACTGACATTTTCTTACTGAACGAGCATCAGTGTTCAAGATCAACAGTCATAACTGCATTTGAAGTATGCATTATATGTATGATTATAAAACTACAGAATATAATATTTCTACAGTGAAAAAACAAAATGTAAAATTATGTTGTATTTCGCATAAATTACAGTACTGTTGGCAAAAATACAATATAATCATAAAATTATTAGGCTTTCATGAGCATATAAACTAAAAGCATATGGAACCAGAACAAGTTAATATATCAAAGTATCAGGCCGCCATAGCATTACGATGGAAAATCAGAGTTTGATATCCAGTGCAGGTAGACTATTTTGCGGTAGAGTTAAAGCATTGAGTACCAGGAATTCCTCCTTTGTTTTTATCTACAGTATTTTCCATACTTTCATTTACTGTTAAAGGTAGCACTTACTGGTGCGTAATGGTTGTACCGGTATATAATTGGATCTTGAACACTAACCCACTTCCTAATATCACTTGTCATTCAAAATAACAAGGACATAAGGATTTTTTTATTGTCTTACAAAGCACGAGAAATCTACACTTCATTTTTTTTTTAAATTGCATTCATTACCATCTGTATTGGCAATGCAAATGAGCTGAAAACAAAATAAATAGGAAGTCCGAGTATTTGATTTATATGTCTGTATCAGGGGGTTTTTTTTGTCATTGTTGCATATATTTTTGTTATAAGCACCTTATAAATCAAAAAGAAAAGAAATTTTAACACTCAAAAACTATCATCAATCCAATCATAATTTAATAAATTAATTATTTACTGAATAAAGACTATGAAAGTGTCAGTAAATTTTAACTACAGTCATAAATGTGACACAAATATGATACCGTAAAATGACATTGATACAAAATCCACATACAAACTAGTAATTAAAAATAAATACATATAATTACACACAGTGTGAGCAATCAATTTATAGATAAAAACATACACTGCTACCTATTTATTTACCAGCATTATTAATAGGATGTTAAGGTAATACCGAATCTCTTGACAGTAACATTTACGTCAGTATCAAACAAAATAAAAGGCATAATATGTAAAATCTATACCAGTAATAGCATTAGCTAAAAATATGACATATGGCGGGAACTACGTCACATGGTTAACGTCAGAGACAAGGCTTGCACAGATGGTCCGAACAATATATTCACATCTAGCTAAATGTGAAATTACTAATTAGGAGACTGGGAAGATCTACAAAGTGCTGGCTGAAGGAAAATGGACAACACCATATTGAGTAAGTGGGTGGGAATAAAAGGCTAGCTCTCTAGGACGGTATTTTTATCTAATGTCCGTACAACTTCATCTAATCTACTGTTTAAAAATATAGATTCCTTAGACTGAACACAGGTACAGGTATAGGCCTACTGCATGTGTTACTTCGTATAAACCAATACTTTCATATAGGATTCTAATCTATACCATAACGTGCACACTTAATTCTAAGTCGTTACTCTAATCATGCTACATCCATCCAATAGAAAGCTCAAGATTATTTTTAAAAATATAAAAAATATTTGGTCTTTTACAATGCATCATGAAATAATATTGGGAACATATAAAACTATTGTTGTTTTAATTACATTTCTGATGATTTCTTATTGTAAATGATTTGTATTTGCATTGCAGATAACTAGTTCTAATTCAACTGTAACTGATTCTTATATCAATAAGAATAAAATTATAAAGAATGTATGTCATCGATGTATCAAAACATGCCAAAAACCAGTATTAAAAGGACAAGTTCACATTTTTGGTTAGTGTTCTCTGAATAGGGATACCCTATTAAGCAGACACCCCTATTAAGGGGACACTTTTGTTGGTCCCAAAGGTAGTGGTTCACTGTATATGTACTGTAGAATGCCTTCTAATAAACATCATCTTAAAGCGTGTTTCCAAAATACTTGCTTGTTAAAATACATTTTATGATATTTTGCAAATTTTTTTTTATGACCTGAACAAGCTATTTTAATAGAATTATTATTGAACAAGAATTAGTGTTTTAATAAGGCGACAGTTTTTATGCCACTACTATACATGAATCATATTATCATATCGTATGATTCCATGCTATAATCAAACCCCTCTCATCTAAAACAACATCATGGCCTATAGAGTATAGAAAATGAATTATATATAGAATAAATTATGTAACATTATCATTTGCATAGACAGAGACCAGTATTCTGTATTAGATAATATATGTGGTATAAATCATATGACAGATTTTGTCCATACTGTATAATCATCACTTCCTTTCCTTTTGTTTTATAAATCAATATATGTTGATGTTTACTTTTTAATAGTTAACTGAAGTTATTGATTAGTCTACAAAACATCAATGGATTTCCATTAATTTATGAATGGAGCCATACACTGTCAACTGGTCAACAAATATAAAAAAGCATAGCAGACACACACACACACATGTAGAAGCAGTTGGCGCATCGGTTGTGGCTTGGACTCCCAACCTTGAGGTCGGGGGTTCGAAACTCTCGCTGTGCAAATCGCTTGTGTCCTTGGGCAAGGCACTTTATCTACGGTTGCCTCTCTCCACCCAGGAGTACAAGTGGGTACCTGGTAGGTTCCAACACAACTGCTTTGATTACTAGCCGCAATATGGAATAATAATATAATTTAACTTAATAATTTAATTTGGTGTTCAATGTGTTCCATATGTGTTTGATCCAATGACCGGGGTAGTAATGTGAAGCGCTTAGAGGCTTTGTTAAGGCATTAAGCGCTATATAAGAACGACATATTAATATTATTATTATATGACACAGACCTAATTACCAATCTGCTTTTAATATATTCTTGATATGAACAATGATAAATATTTAATATGATGTAGGATCAGCTTTCTACATTAATAGACAGTGGGAAGTAGAGTTGGTAAGCAGAAACTACTGTACAACTCAACACATTATCGCAAATTGTTAAATTTTCATCTAATTTTATTATGTTTATGGGAAAGAGTTTGTAATTATCCATAAAATGTTATAACCAACAAAATTATTTGAATCTTGTATCTAGTATTAAAACTGAAAAGGACTTAAAAAACATAATACTACATAAAAGAAACAATAAGCTACCTCAAAATATCAAGTTTAAAAAGTTTTAATCATAGACCAGTCAGTAACACTAATTTGGCCAGACAGGCAGTATAATTGGATATACTGTATAGTTATATATGAAATGGTTTACATCATTGTTTATCGCTGGGAGATGATAAGATTTATTTCAAAGTATAAAAAGCTTGTAAATGTTTTACTATCAATTTACTGTATATAAAAACATGTTTCGCTCATTTAAAGTTAACAGCTTTTTTTTCTTTGGCTCTGCCGCAAATTGTCATGACAATCAATCCTAATAGCATACAACTGTTGTGGCATCTTGTTAAAGGTAAAAAAGAGAAAAAGAAACACCTTTATCCTATTTCTACATAAAACTCTGGAGAGAAACATATCTAAATCAAAAACATATTTTTTCTTTATTTTAATTAATTTTAAACATAATATTTTAATAGACTGTATTTAATTCAGAAATAATGGATTTTTTAAAAACTTATTTCATAATATTGTTTTGTAGTGAAATAAAATTCATTTTTAGTTAGAACATTGTATTGCTATTATTTTTTAGAGAATAAAGCCACATAACATTATTAGTTGGACCATGGCACTGACTTAATCTTCAATTGATGTTTCAAACACTTAAAAATTAAAAGTTAATCTCAACAAGGGCATAAGTAGATTCTTACAAGTTCATACCATTCTGTCTATCAGTTAACAGCTGTACAACAGTAGACTTGCATTCACATGTGATGCAACAGACCCAATAAAAAGGTGCATAGCTCAGGATGTTTAATTTAAACATGCATTAAAACAGGAATTCATTTATAATGTAAACTCATGGTTGGTAATAATTTCTGTTAAGTCCATGTGTATATATAGTACAAACATACGATAATCAAAACTAAAACAAATCACACCATTTCTTGGGGTCTTTAGAATGCATAGATATGCCTACTGTCTACATTAATGCATAGATATGCCTACTGTCTATTTAAGTTTTTTGGTGATCCGCTTCACTAGCAGATCACCTCTTGTTATTGTTAGAGATTTTTCTTTCTTTCTCCACATTTCTGTTCGCACGATATCTCAAAAATGGCACAAGCTACGTGCATGCGCACTTCAAGGAACATTTGGCTCGGCATGGAATAGTCACAGCTTTCTTAATGTGCTCAGTGTGTGACGTCAACTACGCGCAGTTTTGCGTTTTTACATTATCTATTATATCTTGCTAACAAACTTTTTTAAATAAAAACCACATTTGACATTTTATCTCAACCTCAGTATTCTAATAAAATATGTATTTGTATGTTTAAAATTACAATCATCTAAAGCATATGGAAGCATGGTACATAATAAGGTACATTACATTTGTACTTATTTATACATTAATTTGT